ACAAGTATATCAAAATGATCATCATGACGAGCTCCCACAAACTGATTAGTTAGAATTCACAGACCACCAATCAACAAATTCAACAATAATCGATCAGAGAAAAATTCCAGGGATGAACCTACATACCAAAATGCCTAAAATGCAGAACAGATCCTACATGCAAAATACACGATATATATATATAAAAATGTGACTGACACAGATGCATATATATTATATAGAACACATTCCTAAAGATTTTCTTAGGGACAAAAATCGTTTCGAATCAAGAGCTTTTGTAAAAATATCAGCAAGTTGATCATTCGTAGGTACATGACCCAACACGATAATTCCATCTTCTACCAAATTACGAATAAAATGATAGCGAATGCCAATATGCTTGGTACGTGAATGTTGGACAGGATTTTTTAAAATATTTATAGCACTAGTGTTGTCCCAGAAAAGTTGAGCTGAATGAATGATCATACCATACTCGGATAAAATTTGCTTCATCCATACCAACTATGAACAGCAGCTTCCAGCGGAAATGTACTCAGATTCAGCAGTAGAAAGGGAGATGCAGTTTTGTTTCTTACAAAACCAAGATACCAAGTTTGACCCTATATAAAAACACCCACCAGAGGTGCTCTTTCGGTCATCAAGATTTCCAGCCCAGTCAACGTCGCAATAACCTGCAAGATGTAAGTTCGTATCAGTAGAAGAGAATAAACCATACTTTTATGTACCTCAAATGTATTTAATAATATGCGTGACTGCCTTCATATGCGATTCCTTGGGGGCAGCCTGATACCTGGCACACAATCCAACACTAAAGCATATGTCAGGTCTACTAGCAGTGAGGTAGAGAAGACTACCAATCATACTTCTGTAAAGGGTTTGGTCAACAGATGTACCTTCACCGTCCTTGGACACTTTTACATGGGTGCCCATGGGAGTTTGAGGACATTTAGAATTTTCAAGACCAAACTTTTTAACAAGGTTTTGTATATTTACTCTGAGGTAAGAAAATACCATCTTTACCTTGCTTTACCTGAAGTCCAAGGAAGTATGAAAGTTCACCTACAAGACTCATCTCGAATTCAGACGACAAAAGATTAACAAAGTGATTGTCCAGCTTCTTGGACGTTGATCCAAAGATGATGTCGTCCACGTAGATTTGAACAACCAATAGGTCCTCATTCGTTCAGAGGGCAAAGAATGTCTGATCTACTCCCTCTCTCTTCAATCCCTTTTCCAAAAGGTACATGTTAAGGCGTTCATACCATGCGCGTGGCGCTTGCTTCAGTCCATACAACACTTTCTTAAGTCTGTAGACATGATTTGGATTCTTGGGATCCTTAAATCCTTCAGGCTGCTTAACGTACGCCTCTTCATGCAATATCCCATTCAGAAAGGCAGACTTCACGTCCATCTAATAAATAATGAACTTCATAACAAGCAATAGACAGAAATATACGTACCGATTCAAGTCTAGCAACGGGGGCGAAGGTTTCATCAAAATGAATCCCTTGAGTCTGAGTATAGCCTTGAGAAACTAGTCTCGCCTTGTTGCGTGTCACATTCCCAAACTCATCA